ATATATACTTATTCGTATAATAATGTTCTGTACATATGTTATAAGTTACATTGTTACTTCTTTGTTTTCTTTATATATATGTAATCTGCACCTTATTTTATATTGCGTATTTTTTAGTTATGTTTTTGTTTTTTTTTAGTTTTTTTTATGAAAACATCAGAACTTGAATTTCATGTGAACCCTGTTGTGCACAATAATAATAAATCGAAATTGTACCTTGCACCACAGTGGATCATCCGCAACATTCATTAAATTATTTAAATTATTTCATTACTTGCTAATTACTATATTTAATTAAAAATGGTTTTAGTTATTAATGGCTCCTTTGGTTAATACTTTACAACATTGCCATCAAAACTTCACACGAATTGCTTATAATAATGCACATCAGTTAGAGACTACAGTAGTATATGATTATGCTGGGGTTGGTGATGATGCGAATGGAGCGGATGATAATGGTGTCTTTCTAATGCTATCCTACTTCATCAAGAATACTTCTGTTGTATACAATGTTCAATTGTTTACATAATTTTTGCCAAATGTTGTAAATGAAATGATTAAAAAATATCCCATGAACAAATAAAAACATTGCATTTAAGTTGTGTAAATTGAATTTTAATTCAAATAGACAGCTTTGATATATTTCAGTAATGTATTTAAATAATTATTAAACAGGGAATTTCAAGCACTCTCCACCACCCCCCCCCCCCCTAGAGCAAACATTTATTTCACATTTCACCAGGTGAATACAGTACTAGTTCTTCCCATTAGTTGATTCATTTGCAGCCATGGAGGTGGGGGGGGGGGGTTGGAGGTGGCGAACAACATCTTGTGACGTTTTACTATAATTCCCTTTGTATCCTTGTCTACTGCTTTATTAGCTGATAAGAACAAGGCAATTCAACAAGAGGACTCATATCTCTGGACATCATGTGCCAAATCCCTGATTACACTTGTGCAAATACAGGTCTTCAAATTATAGATGCCTTCAATTAAAGGCTGCATTTCTGTGTAGAGTGCTTGGAATTCCCTGTGATCCCAAATTAACAAAAATGCCTTTTATATTTATTATTCTAAGAGAGACGAAGCTAGGAAATACCAAGGAAACCCCAATAGTGGTCTTTAATTGGAGGGAGACAGCCAATGATATTAAATTTGATAGTAATTGTTATTGTCGTGATGGAAAAGACAATAACTGGATTTGCATCAAAAGAATCAAGTATAGGTGTAATTTTGCCCTATACTTAGTACGTGTGAAAATAATTGCGAAAAAAGTCACAAGTTGTTCTCGGGTGGGACTCAAACCCACGATCTCCAGATTACTAGCCTTGTATCATACCTCTAGCTTGCCTCTGATAGCCAGGGTTGAATTCGAGTCCAGGTAAGCAGCGGGTACTGCAATGTTGACAATATTAAATTTGGAATAAAACTGAATGGTTTTATTCGAAATAGTACACAAATCCTAACTTTCAGTTTTTGGGTGTCATGAAATATTAGTTCCATCTCATTGCATAGAGAGGAAGCAGCTAGTAGAGAGCTTTCGATTTGCGTGACAATGCGACGCTAAAGCGGAATGACTCGTGTGACTGTCCTTCCCGGCGTCCTCCTATGTTCTTTGCATACGTAGATTTGGCCAAATTGCGTCCTAGAATCCACGCGCAGATGGCTTTCATTGACGTCATTACGTTCTACGTCCTACCATCGTCGTGTAATCTCCCTGTTATTGAGATTGTACTTGAGTTAACTCATTTGGAATGTCACATCATCCTGGGAAAGATTTATCACATCCATACAAATTAATAATAAAAATATAAAACATTTCTATTTGAAACAAAAACACTAAGTAGCCTAAAATCAAATTTGTTGGTAAAGGTGTAAAAAATCTCAACAGAGTTATAGTATATCAATTCTCCAGCAGGGGCCAGTATGATTTAAGAAACTACTTTGTGAGGCTGGAGAATGGAGCTATTTTTTGGAAATGGGTAAACATTCTGGTATAATTTTAAAATTTGAACCCAGAACCTTGGGATTAGAAGGTAAGAACATAGCCACCAAACCATCAGTTGCATATATTGGGGGGGGGGGAGGCACACCCCCTCCCTTCCCACCAAGAAAGATAATCACGTCACCGAGTCGTCACCCAAAAATTATCCTCAAGCAATCAAAAATCACCTAAAATCATCTTACTTGGTGAGCTAACACCCCTCACCTAATCAGCGAGGCCCCCATGTGACCTGTGTGCCCCCATCAGGCCCTCCACCCCATTTCAAGACTTAGGCCTAGTTAAGACTAGGTGGATAAAGCCGGCTCAACTCATTGGGTTTATTAGGCCTAGTTAAGACTAGGTGGATAAACCCGGCTCAACTCATTGGGTTTATCCACCTGCCAGTCTGAACTAGGTGGCTTATCTCAAGCCGGGCTTTGTTCCTATAGTAACTAGGCCTGGCGTGCTACCGTGCTTAACTTTCCTAAGCCGACTTTAATCGTTGCGGGGGGTTTTGCATTGACTTGGGGTAACAAAATGACCAATCAGCATTCAATCACTTATGCTGTGAGCGTACGTTTCGCGAGCAATATTTTGAAACATGTTTGCTGGTTATGGTTCATTATAATGAAAATTCTCGCGCCTGGCTAATCCCGCTAGTCTAAACGCCTGCCAAAATTAAACCGGGCTCAGCGTTCAGCTGGGCTTAACTCAAGCCTGGCTTATCTCCAAGACTGAACGTAGCCCTAGATATACCACAGGAAACCATAGCTCCAGTATATTAGCTATTTATTTGAGGCATACCACAGACACACATTTGGAATAAACAAATTTACAATTGTACTTACTTATAAATAATATTACAATTCATTACAATTTTTAGCACAAATATAAAAATGTGTGAAATTCTATTCTAATCAGTTTATTTAAAATTTACTTAATATTACCAAACTATTGTTTTTTACCTCATTTATGAATCTGATTAGATGTTCTGAAATAGGAAGTATTTGATCTCAAAATATATTTAAAGAGAAATATGTAATATATCAAAACAAAAAAGTAACTAGATATAAAAAAATCTTTGCTTGTGTCTTTGGGTTAGACACACTGCGTAAAAGTGTTTCTTTGCTTGTGTCTTTGGTTTAGACACATTACGTTAATCTGGCAATACAGATAGGATGTTAAGCAATTAGTCTCTGTGAACAAAGAACTATTCAGAAAACTATTATATCCTGGTAATCTGAGCTGATCGTCATTAAAAACGATCCATTGTGTGTGCATTGTATTGTTGCATTCTACATAGACTCGCGTCAACCAACGACCATCGGGCTTAGTGAGTGCCCGGCTTTAGTGAAAGAGACTGCCATTTATACATTAAGCTCTGACAACACTATCAAGTTTATGACAAATACATGGGTGTGATATGACATCATCATGCCCATACATATATGGATGTGATGACATCATCATGCCCATATATATATGGATGATATGACATAATGCCCATATATGGATGTGATATGACATCATCATGCCCATATATGGGTGTGACATGAAATCATCATGCCCATATATGGATGTGATGTGACATCATCACGCCCATATATGGATGTGATATGACATCATCACGCCCATATATGGGTGTGATATGACATCATCATGCCCATATATGGGTAAATGTGCCATAGAAAAATCTAAAGTGTGGACAAATCTTAATAAGATGTTGATATACTCTCTCTTGGTAATTCCAAGTCTCTACACCGCAGTGGTCTCAAGTTGTTTGTTAATTTTAACACTACATTTAGTCGGTCGTCCTGAGGCAAAACAACGTAAATACCATTTTTGTCGATTTTGAGATAGTATTATTTGGGAGTACAGTATATAAAACACTTACCAATGAAAACAATAAGTAGTTTTGGAGATAGTAAGCACAAAACTTAAAATCTAGTGATGGTAAAACAACGTATTCTGCAAGATTACGAGGCAAAGCATGAAGATACCTTGTTTTGCTTTTGGAAATAGTATTCAAAAACTGTTTTGAGTTGAATGGACTTTGGCAAGCCAAAATCAACAAGTTGATGGTGTTTTTATATCAATAATCTTAACGTCAAAGTATGCACAAGCTAGATAATGCATATGGTTGCCCCAAACGTAATTAATCCCAAAAATATGTCACACTCACGACAATACCGCGCCTGACATGTTTCCGAGGTAAAACAACGCAAAATTTCAGTAGGGTATGACAATTTATTGCCAAATTGCAAACATGCAAACTTTAACTCTATTTTTCTCGAAAAGTGACAATTTCCAAGTTACGTCGTTTTGCCACAGAATGACCGTACTTTCTTTACTATCTATTAATCATTTGTTCTAATACGCAAATATCAACAGCTCTATCAAATCATGGAAATTTTTAAATAACTTTTAAAAGTGAAAAAATTCATTTTCACAAATAAAACAATAAACTATACAACATATAAATACAAATACATCTACTGTACAAATATGTCTATGTCTAAAATAAATAAAATCAATTATCAAGGTACATTTTATAGTGCTTTATATAAATAGTAAAACAGTAAAAAATTATTTTACAGATGAACTTTACATCACATTGCTTGATTCAGATGAATTTTAGTTGCATTCGGAGTTGGTAGAGTCACACATTTCAGATGGATGAGCAAGAAAAAGACGACCATTTTCACAAATACACAGTTGATAGGCACCGGCGGTTGTTGTTGACTTTTGTAATCCAGTAATATGAATATTTGAAGATTCTAAAATAATCTGGAAAAAAAAAACGTGTTTAATAATACTGAACAGCAATCATATAAATGATCAAAAAGATTTTATAGGCTCACATATATTTTCTAAACTCTAGCTTTCTTTCACACATTTGACTGATCTAGGCTTATGAGGAGTTTTTTTTGTAACAGTAAATTATAATATTAAGTACAGATATAGAAAGTGTGATCATTGTAGAGGAATCGGCATCAAATTATATTGTATTATTTTATTAATTATCAAAAAAGTTCAATATCAATCAGAGGGTTAAACACAGCGAGAAGTTTGTCTTTTTGAATGGAATTGAATGGCTAACAATGATTTACTTTGGCTACTTTGTACACGACACAATGGTGGATCTGGGGATTTTGGAATGAAGAGGAGGGTTGGATCGGTTTCCCTTTGAATCCACCACTATGACAGCTTGGACAGGCAGGCACTGTCCTACTACATATCTTGGCATCTAGTAGAGCACTGCAATAATTATAAATGGAAAGGTTTGTAATTTTCTGTTTACATTGCTATTGAGGTTAATTGAGCTGGAATTCTATTGTATTACTAATCATTTGAAATTACTTTGCAGATTGTTTGACACTTACTTTCCCTGTTTTTGATTCCAATGACATATCACCATGGCAGCTAGATTCCAATTTATTAGAAGATAATGTTAAGGTTTCAGCAGCGTTAACTGTAACATCCCCTATGGGTGATTCTAACCTAAATAATCAACAAATTAAAATATTTATTGCATATTAATGTTCCAAATGCATCTTTCTTTTTAATTTACAAAGAAAATTTAAAGGTGGCATGATTTGGTAAGTCTGTATATAACAATTCTGAGCTCTCTAACCTCTGATTGGCAATGAAATTACCCACAAGCCTACCTGTCATCAGCAAACTCAGGGTTCATAAGTTTTTAAAAAAGCAAATTTCCAGGACAATTCCAGGTCAAATTTTTACAAATTTCAAGTACACATTAATTATATAGCTTTAACAGTAAAATATTGGTAATTTTACGATTGATGAAAAACCATGTATGCTGTACTAATTTTAAATGCATGTTAGTTAAGTGTATATTAATTTGTATCTAACTTTAATTCGGAGGCGACCGATCTGTCTCTTTTTCTCACGTCCGTGGGAAATTCTGTTTTTTCAGATGTGTAAAAATTTGTTGGGCAAATGAGTTCCCACGAGCATCAGAAAGTACCGGTAAAATAAAGCAGGGCTGAACTGGAGTAGAATACTCTCCTCGGCACACAAATGTTGTGTACAACAATGGTCTGATTTTATCACATAAACCTGTCAGTGCATTTTGTGTTACCAATGCGCCAGAATAACTCAGTTCTTTTGTGCCCCGCGGGGTGGAGTACACACCTGTCCAGAATTGTTCATCAGCGAATGATAACTCTCTCGATATGTGTACTGTAGTTGCGGAGATGTTAAATTATATTATTTCATATACATTTAGGTGTTTATAAATGTAAAAACTAATGATTTACTGTACTATTTATTAATAATGCAATGCTCTATAGTTCTCTACACATCACCATACCATTTACTGTATTATTATTCATTACTATTGGGCCTATAGGTCAATTATTATTAGGCTTTAGTTGTTAATTTTTTCTCTGTATTTAAAAATTTATAATGTTGAAGGCCTACGTAAATTTTAATAATCTACTATACAGCAAATGTTGAGGTACGACAGAGTTCTCATCATCCTACCGGCATTGGTTTTTCAAAGATTTTGTAAACTTCGCTATAAAATGAAGGACTTTTAAATGTAAATGCTCTTTAAACACAAACGCCATTCAGTGTAACAAAATAACTGTGGAAGTGCACGTTCCCATGTTTACGTTAATTGTTAATTAACTGCCTTGCACTAGATATGGCCAAACATGCAAGTGTACACGTCTGGAGAGTAATGAAATAAATAAAGCAAATTCACAGAGCTGAGTATGGGCGACAAAACCGCAAATAAAAACACCATAGCAGATATCAACAAAGTTTACTATCATTATCTGAATTAAAATATAATTAATATACAAGATTAACAAAGCACCGCTTTACTAAAATACAGGTGAACAACTCAATTCACTGAATGCACAAAATTGTCTGAACCACTGCCAGCCAGTCACTTTCAGCATTTGACATTCTTTGATAACATTCCTGAATTGGTGGCGATCAAATACTTGACCTGCTTCTTACAAGAGTATCGTGGGAACGTTTCTTATTTAATTTACTGTTACTAGGCAACCTGCAGTACTGGATAAATGGTAAATGTCCAGGACATTTAAAAACAATCATAAATTCCCAGGACTTTCAAGTACTGGAAAATGTTCATTTGTTTTTCCAGGACATTCAAGGAATTTAAGGATGCATACAAACCCTGCAAACTGTATGGGACTATTTCATTTGAGTATTTTCCTCATAGCATCATTACGACCAGCTTACACTCCCTCAAATATGGTCCTTGTGTTGGATTATCATAGTAACCAACCTGAGAGATTTGAAATGTGCGAGTGACTACAACAGTTGCAGATGAATAGGCCTAGGCATACAGATCAATTTGTAGTAACGCTTCAGTGAATTAAGTATTCTGTACTCTCCAATGAGTCTAGTTACAGCATGGCCACTTTTATTTTTTTCATAACACCTATTTTTTTCTAATTTTAAATACATTTTCCACTGTATTTGTGATAATTTTTGTTATCACGCATAGACTTGGTCTAAATGCGTGACAAATTTATGGTCACGCATGTGTTTCTGTAAAATGCGTGTTTCATCCAAAATCACTTTGAAATGCGGGACCGTCCCGCACGAGGTGAGACTGTTGGAAACTATGGATTATTTAAATAAAAACCTCCATTGATGAAGTAAATTAATCTGGCCAGAAGATTATATTGGATTGGACTGGACTTCTTCTTTGCGAGACACACCATCCCATAGTGGTAAGTGAGATGCAGTACACTACATAACGTAGAGATTGTCATGATTATTGCACAGTATTATGTATTATTACACAGTAGATGGTTAAATGTAATCATGTTATAAAGTCCCTTAAATGGTCATTAGGGTGTTAGGACTTACCTTAAATTTTCTTCATTATTTGATGAAATTATATTAGCCTGGATAGGACCTTGGAACGCTACTCCTCCTGAAACTAGTCAGAATATTTTATAAAATAAGAATATTTTATACAAAGTAAACCATCTTATGATGCTATTATTATTATTATTATTAACATTATTATTATTATCATTATCTTTATCATTCTCATCAGTCATCATCATCATTATTATTACTAACATTATCCAATTATATCCTGGGTTTGTAGTCGATGAAAGCTAGTATCTTAAATTAAACCTAAAGCTTTGATTAGACTATCAAATTATATTTGACAAAAAATTGTTGTATGGATGCCCATATACAGTCATTACGTGCCTATATATAGTCGTGATGTGATGTCATCATGACCATATTTAGACATGTCACGTGTGTTGTCAAATAAAATTTGATAGTATGGACGGGACTTAAATTGTGGCAAAAACAAGCCAAACCAGTCACTCGTCGCAAAAATCAAATTTTAGTTATTAATACAACGTTAAACAGCAAAATGTGAGATATAAAATGGTACAAGAATCATTTAAAACTGACATTTCAGTTTACACATACAACAGTTTAAAGAAGAATATTTGAGAAATCAGCCTTTAAAGTTTATGATTTTGGGCATTCTCAGGCAGAAACCATCAACAAATTGTTAAAAACTGTTGTTTTAACATTGAAAATGGGGAAAATAATAGCATTGCATGATATATAGATATATAAAGGTTAGTTTAGTGTAATAAAATAGCTTTCAAAAATGTTGACATTCCAGCACGTTTTTTCCATTATCTCTGAAACAGAATTTGTGACAACTGACTGGTTTGGCTTGTCTTTGCCACAATTAGGAAAGTTGACCACTCTGTAAAATACAGTATTATGATTATTATTATCATCATTATCAGTATTATGATTATTATTACCATCATTATAATCAAATTAAAAAGCCCTGTCCAAACCATAATATTTTATTTGACAAAAACAAGTGACATGCCTAAATATGGTCATGACGACATCACATCATGACCATATATAGGCGCATCATGATTATATATGGTCATACAACAGCTTTGAGAGTACTGAGCCGTATAATACCTGTAAACTTGACATGCTTGACTATGTCTCCGATGGTGAGTGACTCATCACTGGCATCAAACAGAATGTTTTCTTGACTGTCATATATAATAAATCGTTCACTAAATGATTTTACTTCTTTTGATCCTATAAAAAGATTTAACCAGAATAAGAAAATATGCTTCCATAACATTAACACATTAATGCGCTAGTAATCAGTGGTGGCTCCAACAGGAGGCAGTGGGAATTTGTATAAAAAATAAACAAAATCATAATTTGCCTCCAATTGATCTAATTTTGATTGCCAAATCCCTAATATTGTGGTCTAACAGCACAATTTGGGCCATACTAACCCTTCCAAGTATTTTTTATTCCGGGCCGGACTCGGACTGAGGCTGCTCTAGTCGGACCCTTCGTTTGGAACCCCTGTCTCACAAGTAGAACCCACTGTCGGCAAATTTCTGGAGTCTCTGCTGCTAGTAGTATATATTACTGTCAAATTAAAGTACTGTATGTGAGGTTGTAGTACTTACCAATTACAAACTTTCCTGTTACATTCCCCTGTCTGTTTCTTGCATTGAAGGTAATATTATTCTTAGAGTTTAAAACTAAAGGCAGATCCTGAATAGAACAAAGAACTCGTGTTTATTCATATAAATAATAATAAAATAAATAATAATAATAATAATAATAATAATAATAATAATAATAATAATAATAGTAATAATAATAATGATAAATGAACAGTTATATAGCACAGGTATCGTCTTGTGATACTCAAGGCACTTTGATCTGCCTACTAAACCTTTTCTATGTGGAATGCGTTATGGAAGAAATGCAATTTTAAGTTCCTTCAGAAAGTGTTTTGAGTGGTGCAGAATTTTAAAGTTGATGGTAGGCTGTTCCAGACTTTAGCAGCTGCTATCTTGAAAGACCTACATGATTACATACATAAACACTTTTATGAAAATTTACACTTACATGATTTGCATGAATCTCTGATGCATAGACTGGATTGAGAAACTCAACATCTCCTGATATCCTGACGTCATCACCACTCAGTTTTAAACTCCCAAAACCATAAATGGAAAAGTCCAACACTTTAAGAATCCACACGGTGAGAGCTATATTGATGATAATAAGAACCATGAGCAGAAGGACCAAGAAATACAAACACCGTTTTCGCCAGCCATAGATTCCAATGTTTGCGGCATGAATTTCAGACTCGCTGTCACGGCGAGAGGAGACATACGCACCTCCTCTACCCATGTTTCAAACCTAAATAAGAAACTTAAAATGTTTAATACTGGATAACATGTCAAGGTAGGGCATAACACAGAAGCTATATCATGACAAGACATATTTATCAAATAAATGTGGATTTTAGTATTTACAATCCTGTAGCTGTGGGAAAGACAGTGGCCTTATACAACTGAAACAGATAAAACCTGTTTTCCATTAGGTGAATCTATTCGCGCAAATCGAAAGCGTTGGTTCGCTTCCTGAGCTCTGATTGGTTGCATATTTTTTTCATTTCGCAAAAAGTAGAAAAAGTTTCGAACTACCGATTTCGCTGAAGCGAAAACTCCTGATAGAAACGTGAATGCGCACGAGCAACGCATTCGGTTCGCGCGAATAAATTCGCCTAGTGGAAACCCGGCTTAAGTGTTTCATAATTTTTAATCAAATGAGGCTTGTCATCCCAAAACCAGCATGCAGTAAGTAAACAAAAAATGAAAATCAAGTTTTTATTATCTTATTCTCCACATTGTAAGTTGTAATGCTTTGAAATGATGGGTCGTATAATGGAATTTACTTACTACTCTATTGTCAAAGTTATAAGTACTCTAAAGCTCTGTCTACACTATCAAATTTTGTGTGACAAAAAAGTGTGATATGCCCATATATGGGCATGATGACATCACAGTATGACCATATATAGGCATAGCATTACTATATATCATTATGGCTTCTCTGCACTAAAGTACAGTATACAGTATGTCATACAGTATTCTAAAATGCAAATTACTCAGTTTAACAATTACCAACAGTATGCTGGTTTTTGGATAATAAATAATACAGACAATGTAAATGCACTTCCATATTACTCTAAAAAGAGAGAATGAAAAAAAAAACTGCAAAATATGGGATGGGAGCCAGCAAATTTTATCCAGGCAGTTACTGTACTGTATTAACATTTCACACTGTCATCTTCAAGTATTTTGAATTTAAATTTCATGAGTGAAGAATGAAAGCATTTCATTCCAATCAAAAACTCTAATCCTACTATGCAGTATTATTTCACATCCTGGGTCTTGCTGTAAGTAATATCCAATCAAAGTGGAGTTGAAGCCAATTGTGACTCAATTAACTTAGTACAGTATTAGAAAACGAAAATTTATATTGCATTAGGTCATTATACTCCTAATTGACCATCACTATAAATAGACCTGATGATTTCATAGTTTGTGTGACAAATCTTTAGGGGATATATAATGAACTTTGACTGACTTTCAGGTCAATCTTATTTTGGAATAAATTACGGAAATATTACAGATTGGAAAACTGAACCAGGCATTAGGAAGCTTTGGATTTGTTCGACGACGCGATGATAGAACGGGATCACTTATGTGTAACCGTCCTACCGGGCATCCTACATTCTCTGCAATAGTAGATTTGGCCAAATTGCGTCCTAGAATCCATGCGATGAGATCTTAATGTTCTCACATGCGCAGAGGACTGACATCATTACGTTTTACGTCCTACTGACGTTGTGCAATCAAAAGCTCCCTAGTGACCGGATGACACTATGTCACAGAAAGGTTAGAAGTATGTCACAGAAAGGTCAGAAGGGAAGGAAAATGTCATTAATATAAAGAGCTTGAAAGGATGAGAAAATCAGTTACCTGTATACAGAAGCCTATGAGAGAGTTAAGAGAGCTGACAGTGAAAAGATATTATAAGAACTAAAAGATTTTAAGCGAGATGAGATGACATCAATTAAATTTTACCACTGTAAACACAAATTTCAATGTTTTTCATACTATGTTCCCGATACTACTTTTACATTATACAAACTATTATTAACTAGTATAATATAAGACTTCACTACAAACATGATAAAACTATAAAAGAATAATAAATCAAACTTGGGTTAAATACAAAATTTAAGAAATTACAATAAAATTACCGGATAAGATTTTGTTAAAATACAGCTGTATAATTCAACTAAATGACAATAAAAAACAGGTAAGGTATTAATTTGAATAATTAAAAAGTAGTTTATAGAGGTAATAAGTAAAAAATATTTATAGTAAAATGATTTAGATAGATAGTAATAAAATTCATAAAATTAGTTAGTTTTGAACAAATGCAGCAAATTTTACTGTAACTGCAATTTTAAAATTCAACCTTAGATGATGCACTCTGTTCTCAGTATCATTAATTGCGCCATTAAACACCACTTTACAAGAGTACACATATTACAGAGTCTTGAGATGTTGTTATAACCCCTGAATAGCTTGCAATAAACATCAATTAAAGTAAATTAGCTGCCAGACTGTATAAGACTTGTGCGGGGAATACATCCTCTGCGCAAAAATTATGCCTAGAAATCTGTCCGTGCATTTCAGAAAACATGGGGCAATTTCCGAGAAAGATTTTCCTGAAAATTAGGTTTTTACCTAAACTTAACAATACATAACAAATGTATTTATGCAGAGTTACAATTCTGCGTACCTATCTTCTGATTTTCTGTGCAAATTTTACCTAGTTTTTGAGGTATCATCTGCGCAATTAAAAAACTTTATATTATAGTATGGGATAGTCAGGGTGCAATATAGACTCGTCCTTCAGAACAGAGTTAAAGATGTTGGTTCAATATGCATAATAATCCTTAGACTGAAAAACTGTTTAGAATTCTTTTTGTTTATAATTTTCATTCTTGCCAACACAAAAGAAAGCTAAAACATATCACAGCCCACCAGCGATTTTTTTTGCGGCCCACGAAAATGAATTAAAAACCCTATGTGTGCGGCTCACCAAGCAAAATTGGCTAAAAAACACTTGTTTTTTTATGGCCTGACACTGATCATGTAAAAAGTAAAATTAAAACTGAGAATAGATTGGTGTAAAAGCAGTTCTTGGAGTTTTTTGGAAGCACACTGGAAACAGCAAAGTTTGGGTACGGCCCTCTGTGTTAAATCAGAAATTCACTTTGGCCCTCTGACCGATTTTTATGTCCACGCAGTAGAGCAATTGAATAATATTAGTAATAAAATATGGCCTTTTTCAAAAGTGGATTAGACTTCTTTTTTCCAAGCAGCATGTTGTATGAAAACTCTCACCAGGAACAAACACCTTCTTAGAAATTAAACACTTTTTGGAAATATGTTTTTTATATGATTACTGATTGATTGATTGATTGGTTGATTGATTGATTGATTGACAATTTTACATCCTCAATTGAATCAGAATTAGGAACTGGTTTTGGAATGTGTAACAATCAGGGTTCATACGTTTTTAAACAAGCAAATTTCCAGGACAATTCCAGAACATTCCAGGTCAAATTTTCCGAATTTCAAGGACTCAATCAATCAATTTAGTTGTTTCCATCACAGTAAAGACTGTTGGTTGATTGCATATTAAGTTTTACTTAAATCTAATTCAGAGGCGATAGATCGGTGTCTTTTTCTCACGCTCGTTGGAAATGTTATTTCATACATATTGGTCATTAAAATGTTGAAACTTGTTTAATTGTACTGCGAAGTCGTTTATTTCATCTCTGCATTCATGGTTATTATTTATAATTAATATTATAAACCTATGTAAACTTTTATAATCTACTATACAGCAAATGTTAACGTATGATGTGTTTGCGATGATTTCATTTGTTTATAAGTAGAGAAAATATATACTGTACATTGTAAAATTGAATTATCAACATTTGCAAGCACTACAGTAAATTTAACACAGAATAGCAACACAAAAATGACAGCATATTCCTTTTAAAAATCCACTTTATTTGAAACAATGTCATAGGTATGGTAGTTTCTGGATTTATATATTTTTATTTCTTCTAATTTTGAAGCAATGTTCGCCTCACTTTCTGCCAGTAATGACTTTTTCTCAGCAGCAGTTCGACGCGCAGGCTGTTCGGTCAGATACGGTCAGACCATAGGGAAAATAGAACATTTCTCTATGGTCTGACTATCCTTTACTCTCGGCCTGATCAGCAAACCTTACGGATGACTTTTTCAGACCTTCAATATCAGCGCAATACATCCTTTCTTACTCTTCTTTAAATTATCTAACACATCTAGCTTAGATTGCCTCTTTCGTGTTTTCAACGCCTCGGCTGCCATAACCCTGTCTGCGCTAAAAAAATAGAATATGCTGTACAGTACTGTACATAATCAGTCGACAGTGTATACATGCCCAAATTTAGCATGTACTGTAGTTCACAGTACCGAAAATTATTAGTGCCCTTACATGTACCCGCCGCGCGTCTCCTTTGTGTAACGTGTAACGTCAAAGAGCGAGAGCTGCGCATGTATAGTAATACTATAGACATGCCGCCCTACTTTTGAGAAATAGCTACAGTATGCGGGGAAACGGTCTATACTTTAATTGTGTATGAGTATTGAAAAGACAAAAACAAACGAACATTTTTTAGTTTATTTTAATCCTGACCTGGAATTTACGTATATATCATGTGAAATACGATAAATGGGTAAATAATCAAATTTCCAGGACATTGAAGAATTATTCAAGGACAATCATAAATTTCCAGGACTTTCCAGTACTGGAAAATGCTCATTTGTTTTTCCAGGACATTCCAGGAATTTAAGGACTCGAACGAACCCTGAACAATAAACATTGCTAAGATTATAATGACCACAGCAAAAAGTGTTGATGCCAATTATATTTTAATTCAAGCACAACAACAGAATTTTTGACATTCTCAAAATCAACACAATCCAAATGATGATGATGATGTACTGTACTGTATTGATGACATGTTACAGTATCATTAACGGTTTTGATATTATTAATTTCAGAACTTTCTTTTCATTTTCTGACTTAGAAGGAACTAGAGGTCAGAGATTCAAATTGTTTAAAAAGAGGCTAGGCTTGATAAGGAGTATTCTTTTAGCTGTATAGTGGTCGATTCTTGGAATAGGCCTAATCTTCCATCTGAGTCTGAGGAGGTTCAAGCAAGGAGGTATTCCGATTTTTTAAATTCCATAGTGCGCAGCCTACTACAGTAATTCTTGGATCTTCATAGGTGGTCGGAAACACACTGAGTTTGAGCTCTCTCCTCTTATTTTTATTTCATTTTAATAACCTTCCTTATCACAATCATACATATTCATACAGAACAGTAAAGGTTTTACTCTAATCTCGAAATCTTGCGTTTTTCATCATTTGCATTTACCCAACAACATAACAATTTGAAGCAAAATATTATTAAATTGTACTGAAGGGTCATATAAGCTTTGATAGCTTTCAAACAGACCCGCCACAATCAAGCAAGTAAGCAGCTCGCCTTCAGCTGATCATCGTACAGCGAAACTCACTGACACAATGATGAGTGACAGAAAGGATGTTGCCTGCCTCTGACTGATCGAAGATGGAGGTGCCTAGCAGTGTAGAGCAGACAGAGTGGGTGCCGTGCACACACGTCTAATCACACACACACACGAAAACAGCTAGGCCTAAGTAAATGTTAAATGGAATAGAAATCATAAATACCTATTATCTTCAGAAAAACAACTGATGTTTGTTTGCCTTGAAGAGATAACACAGAAAATACATCTACTAGTACTACAATCATCAGCAAATAATCAAACTTCTACTACAGTGCAGCCTCGCTTTGCCTACGACAGGTCAACATCCTTAACCCTTGACCCTGTTGACATTATTCTAGGAGCACCGCCTCCGCTTTCCTTCTATTGGTTCATGATTAGCCAATCGAATCCTTCCTTGTGGAAGAACACAGAGCTGAGCATACCGTCTGTCAACATGGCTGCTGTTCATCGTGAGGTGCCCTTTATGATATCTAAAGTTTGGTTAATTACGCTCATAATTATTTCATTCACAAACCTATCCTTAAGCGCAAAGAAAAAAGAGGTAGATATATTATTTTTAAATTTAACTAGGCTTAGAGCACCAGCTGCTGCAATGCTGGGAAAAAGCTTTTTCCGCATTGCCATTGTACCGACTTGGAATCGTACCCACGACCTCCGGATACGTACGGTAGCAGGTCAAAACGGCAATAACCAAAACGGCAATAACCAAAACGGCAATAAACCAAAACGGCAAGAGGCATAGGCCTAGACCAAAACGGCAAAGAGCGAAATGAATGCCAAGACTAGCAAAGAAAGCGCCACCAAACCAAATGTTTTACAATACTGCTTTTATTGTTTCCCCAATTTTTTTTGGTGATCCGCTCTCGAGCGGATCACCTCTTGTTATTGTACTGTCTCTTCTTTTTTTCTTATTCTTCTTTCTTTCTCCGTATTTTTGTTCGCACGATATCTCAAAAAATGCCACGAGTTACGCACAACCGCCGTCAACAAACATTTAGCTTGGTCTGGAATAGTCATGGTAAGCTTTTCAACGCGCTCAGTCATGCGTGACGTCATCTACACGCAATTTTGCGTTTTTACATTCAGTCATTCATATCAGCCTAACCAACTGCCATTTCAAAATCGTATTAAGTGAGCATTAACTTCGGGTTAATGTTAAATGTACTGTACCTTAATTTTACGCGTACGTCAAATTTTTAAAAAGCTCAAAATCACTTTTTGACTAAATTAGAGCACGTTTCAGGCCATTTTGAGCATTTTAAATTTTTTTTAAATTTTCCTCTACGTGCGCGCATTTTTTCGCACGCAGCACGTACAGAAGCTAAACATTATGTTTTTTCAAATAGTTTGGGTTCCTGACATTGTTTTCACAAATTTCCATTCTTTTTGGTCATCTTATGGCCAATAGCAATGTCGTACGTGCACATCAAATATAGCTATCTTTGCGCGGATTTGTGCCGATATACAGTGAAAATATGTTAAAATCAGGCCTATATTTAATCAGTTATAGCTCCTTAGGATGAAAGGTGATCCCCAATTTTTATTACATATTCTGAAAGCACATAAATTGTAAATTTGATTTTATAATGACTGATTGGACATTGTGACGTCATCATATTGGCATCTGAATTCAAAGAAAGTGAATTATAGCTATGACATCATTTTTGAAAATACGCATTTAAACGTATCTCGCTTATCCTTGATCGATCGTCTTCCAACTTTGAGTATGTTATAGCTGAGACAATTCTCTTTCATATATTTGATTTCTTTGTACATTTTGATGACGTCATCATGGTCAAAAAAACTGTTTTTTCTGACCCCCCCACATCTTTCTTTCCTCAAAACGTTGATGAACCCATATCATCTTAACCATTCGACATTTCTGAATCATATTAAGTGAGCATAGCTTCAGGTCAAGGTTGAATCGCGAATTAACGTGCGTGTACACGTACGACAACAATTATGTATACTTAAAATTATGCCTACTTTTAATCAGTTATAGCTCCTTAGGATGAAAGGTAACCCTAATTTTTATTACATATTCTGAAAGCACATGAATTGTAGATATGATTTTATAGATCATTATGGCTGATCGGACATTGTGACGTCATCATAAATTGCTATCTAATTTCCAAAAAACTGAAATTTTATTTATGACCTCATTATTTTTCAACTTATTTGAACGTATCTTGCTTATTCTTGATCGATTGTCTTCCACCTGTGAGTATGCAATAGCTGAGACAATTTCAGAAGTGTCCCTTTATTTTTCATTTTGATGACGTCATCATGGTAAAAAAGAATGCTTTTTTGGAGCCTTCTCATCTTTTTTTCTTAAAAGATTAAACAATTTTAAAATAGAGGGCGGCAGACTGTATTTCAACGCTATCGGACTGATATATAGTTCATATACTCTAAAAGGAAAATTCGTGTGGCATTACCAACCAACAGGGGGTTTTAAATTAAACTTGACAAGGTTTAAATTCATGTGCCATTACCGTCCTTGGGCATGTCGTATAAGGTATTCATACTTGTGCGTTAAAATTTTAAAATTGTTAATATCACTTTTCAGATAATTTAAAGCAAGTTTCAGGTCATTTTCAGTATTCCAAAACTTTCCATAATTTACACGCCGTACGCTCATTTCCACGCCCACAGCAGGTACTGAAGCTGGAAATTACGTTTCGGTTACATGTTTTGGGTTTGTGACACTGTATTAATATCATTACCGTGCGCACGGACGTTAAGACGTATGTGTACACATTCGTAAGTCCTTAAAATGCTCAAAATTACTCTTTTTAAAAACTAAATAGAGCATGTTTCAGCATATAATACTTTTCAATCAGAACCGCGCGTGCTTCGTGAGGGTCAAAGTACAGCGGATCACCAAACTCGTCCTCAGTGACGAGTTCAAATCTAGTTTAATATTGAATTTGTATGTTATATTGTTATTATTATTTTGATGTTTTTCCCCTTAATATTGGTGTATGTCTTGGTTTTTTTAAATGTTTTTATTTATTTTTGTACTGTAAATTGTCTTATCCAATCACTATATATATATGTTTGATTGCAATAAAGTTTAATTTGAATTATTATTATTATTATTTTTGCTGTTGACGTTCTTTTCGCATTTTTTACTTCTGTGACAATTTAGCCTCATTTTAATACCGTATTTAATCGTTGTACACTTTCATGTTTATAATTAGTTTATTTTTTCACGTTTTTAATTTTATGACATAAATTGTTGAGCATCATTTTGTCTGTTTTTTAAAGTTTTACTTATTTAAATGTCCACTGATGCTTTTATATTGTGTTTCCCCCAATCTCTTTATGGTTTTTTATCGCGACCGAAATGATCTTTATGCGCCGCTGAATAAATAAAATTCCCTTTTGCCAATTACCATATAGCCTAGGACTACAGTATGCCATTCTGGAAGTGTTTACGTTTTGATTTAAGCCTATTGCCATTTTCATCATTACCGTTTTGACTTATTGCCGTTTTGGTCCATTACCACATTCTGGTCAAAAAGTGTTGCCGTTTTGTGGTTAAGTTTTGCCTTTTTGGTCATTCCCGTTTAGACTTATTGCCGTTTTGTCCAGAAACCCAGATACTGTACTGTAACTAGCCCAGTGTCTTAACCAGTAGACCACCGAACTTGTGCTTAACAGCTATGAATCCATGTAGTGGGTACTGCAAGTACGCCTAGATGGTATAAGCCTCTAGGCTGATTCTGATAAAATACTGATCATAGGCCTAAGTAGGCCTAGCCTAGGCCTCTAGCATAGGCTAGGGCCTAGCCTACCTAAAGGTCACTAGGTCAGAATGTTGTCACTGCAGGCCTAGGGCCTAGGGCCTAGGCCCCTACTACTAGGCCTAAAGCACATTCCTGCCAAAAAAAAAAAAACCCAATAAAATTAAATTACGGTTTGAGACTTCTGTACAAAGCACTATTTAAATCGAAGTGTACAGGCCTACATTACATTACCGTATATACTTTTTCAGCAATCCCTTGGAGATCGAGTGAAGCAGCTTACAGAATGGAGTTACAAAAGGCCTGTAATCAATATGAATGGAGAGAAATATACTATGATAGGTTTTTCTTGTTTTTGTAGGCTTGGGTTCCAGGCAGAACAAATAGCAAAATGGGTTGCAGAGCGTACTGATGTAACGGTAGGTGGAATCATGAACATTATGTTTACTTCTTAATAATATATACAGTATGTGTGTATACCTGTCTCTTATACACATCTAGATGTGTATAAGAGACAGTTTCTCTGCAGTGAGTCATTTTTTATTATTTTAAAATGTCATTCTAATCAGGGTTCCCAAAGCTCCAGCAGTAAGTCGCAGGAATCTCTTGGACGTACTGTAACCCATCTTAAAAAAACAAATTCACAATATTTGCATGCGCAGCAAAATGAAATTTAAAAATTAAATAAATTAAATATGTTAAGAAAACTCATTCAACTAGATCTCACGGAATGGATTTCTTCCAGCTTGGGACCCCTGTTCTAACTCTCAAAAAAAAATATCAACATGGTGTTGTACTTACTGTGATTGGATGTGAGGCGGAGTGACCTAGATAAACTGTCGTCAAAATGTCCAACTATTGTGCTGTACAGTATTACCAAGGACTTAAAATTTTAACTGTAGGCCTGCAGTTAAAAGTATGACCTTATTACGTTTGGACAGATTTATTCAAGAGAGTTACAGTAGTTCTTCACTGAATTTTACTGATACAATTTACTTTGATATTTTTTCTTGAAGTTAAAAGCCACATCAGCTCCAAGCATCATACATTTCCCTGTCAAAGGAAAACCAAAGAAAGCTGACACATTCGATATGCAACGGTAAGCAGTCTTTAGTACTTTGAATCATATCCTTGTCGTTTTGTATTATATGTATACGGTATCCATGTCCATGAGAGTCGACTACTTAGGCCAAATAAAATCAATTGCTTGTTGCAAGTCCCCATCCCAATCAAGTGTTGGCGACTCATGTAAAAATAAATATTTGTTGAGGTATTTTAAAAAAAATAAATGAATAAAAATAATGATGACTTGAAAGTTGGTGTTGTGTGCAATTCACCCCAGAAGGACCCACATGGAATTCTCTCGGTGATGCATTTCCCACTGAAGAAAACTGTACAATACCAACTTGAATCTCCAATCTGTTATCTATTTATTCAACATCCTTTCACAAGGAAACACATTAAAGAATACTTGGCACTGATCCTGCTTGCAATGGTTCTCCTCAAAGAGTTGTGGATGTGTCAGGGATGGCGCCAGGAATTCCCCAATGAGGGGTCCAAGCTCCCCGAAGAGGGGTCCACACCGAACCCCCTCGTCTGTGTGGACGTAAGGAATTTAAATAGACTTTCTTTTGAAAATGTGTCTATGTTCGCTGGGATGTGTACCACAGTGTCGCTCCTTTGCTGGAAATTCCCTGATGGGATGTCCAGAGGTCCCCGACGAGGTCCTTTTCCACCGGATCCCTGCTAGCGCCACCGCTGGGATGTATACCATGTGTTTGATCCAGTGACTGGGGTACTATAATAATGTAAGGTGTATAGATGCAGTTTATTTTACATTGTATTTATTAATATATATATTATGTTATATCTAACAGATGTTACTCTCTTGACTCGGGTGAAAAAGCAACGCTTCATCAGAATCATGATTAGTAATGATATTTCGATATGTATTTCTGAATTATTTTTCAATAGGTATTTCGTAATGATACTTTGGTAGGTATCATTACGAAATACCTAATGAAAAATAGGTATTTCGTAATGATACTTTGGTAGGTATTTCTTAAGTAATTATTATACTATGATAGGTTTTTCTTGTTTTTGTAGGCTTGGGTTCCAGGCAGAACAAATAGCAAAATGGGTTGCAGAGCGTACTGATGTAACGGTAGGTGGAATCATGAACATTATGTTTACTTCTTAATAATATATACAGTATGTGTGTATACAGGCCCGTAGCCAGGTTCTTCCAAGGGGGGTTTTCTGGGCGTGAGGTCCACGGTTGAAGCCCCGGTGGGGTCGGCGAAACCCCCAAACCAAGAGGATTTTTTGCACTTTATGGGTCTAAATAATGCTATAAATGTTCAAAAACGTCTGTGTCTGGGTGGGTCTGCAGTGCATTAGTTGGGTTGGAGGACTTATTTGGGAAATTTGAAGAGGGGGTTCGCCAGAAAAGAGGAGGGTTTGCTAGAAAAGGGGGGTTCTCCCGAACCATAAAAATCCCCCCTGGGTGCGGGCCTGGTATATGTGTGTATGTGCATGCATGCGTGCCTGAGTGGGAAGAATGTATGTATGTATGTCCTATGTATGCTTCAATATATATATATACTGTAATAAGTAAACATAAAGAAATAATACTCTTCACAAGGTGACTACTTTGAAGCATAGATTTTATTAAAAAAAACCAAATTGATTATACTGTAGAAGATGGTATGACATTGATAAAATCAAAGTAAGGTAACTTTATTTGACCTAGTTACCTAAGAAATTTGGGCTGCAATTCTGGGCCTGCAGCAATCATCATAATCCAAAAAAGTATAACTTTGTGGCTGTGTGGTCTGGCAACGCTGCAAAACTGGTATCAGGTAGTTAGGGGACAATGCATTTTTCTCGAGTAGTTATAAAAATCCATTATTTGGCCAAATTAACTGACATATGTGTTTACTCTACAAATGTCATTATATTTTATTTTATTTATTTTAACTTCGCCTCTATTGTAATTGTGATGTTTTCTCTTTTTTTGTGTGTGTATTTAAAAAAAAATTAATACAAAAGAAATTAAATAAATTGTGTTTAAATTAATTTTGTTCACAGATTAGGATCTTTAGGCCCCCAAACCATGCCGGTATCCTGTTGCTTGGCCTTGCCCTCACAACTATTGCAGGCTTGCTGTACTTCAGAAGAAACAATCTGGAGTTTCTTTACAATAAAAACATGTGGGCAATTCTTGCTTTGGTAAGAACTTTAATCATTTAAGTTAGTGCTAACTGTAAGTGAATGCATATTGTAAGTGAATACTATAACTTGTACATGATTAAAAACAACTTTGTGGAGTTTTAATTTATTTAGCAAACATTTATTATATTGTGCCAAACAGTTCAGTATCTTATCCTTAAGACAAATTCCAATCAATTCCCTCGTATATCTCTACACCATTATGTAGGTAAAAGAGGTATATTCTAGTAAATTTACCAGCTTTACCTTTCGACTGGTCGTTCTTCTTTAAACCTTACTTAACGAAGACGACCACTCAAATAAAAAACAAGTAAATGCTTGACAAAACAAAATGGCTGCATAGTTATCGCAATACATGCTGCGTAATCAAGGTTGCTTTGGATTGTGTCAGTATGTTTTCATCCAGTTTTTGAATTCTGTTAGCTTACAATTATTTATCAACTTCATGTGGGTAAATATTATTTTTATTTTCTGAAATTTAATCTAAATTATATTAACGCAAATTTTGTTGCTAAACTGACCAATTGGCCATGTTTGTTTTGGTCACATGGATAACTCAACGCTGATTAATGCAGTCTGGTTTACCTTAATTCTCATTTTGTCAATGAAGTATATTTTACGAACCAGCCAAATAAAATAATACTCAACGAAAAATCGTAGTCAACAAAATGAACCAGTCGAATACGCCCATTAATATTAATAATGATTGTGTTTTATTGCCTTCAGGTGGTAGTGTTCTCAATGATGTCTGGACAGATGTGGAATCACATACGGGGTCCTCCATTTGCTCACAGAAACCCGCAGTCAGGACAAGTAGTAAGATTCTTTATACAAAGCACCCTCTATTGAAAAAGCACTCCATTTAAATAGAGTACCAGGCAAGTGTCATCACAACACCAGGTGGCGCCCTTTGTTGTAAACCAGACGTTGGTCAAGTAGTCATTACACGTGAATGACTTCATAATCTTAATGGTTTAGAATAGGCTTACTGGAAGCTGGCATTTTAAAACCTAATAATTTTCTTTCAAAATGTACTAAAAACACAAAAGCGCACCATACATTAGTTATCAAACTTATATTTAATCATCAATTAAAATTTACAAAGAAAATTAATAATAAACCTCATGATAAAAGTAAGTTAGAAATTGGGATTAAAATAACCACCCAAGATGGAATATACCATTGTTGAAGTGGGGTGGACAATGTTGTGTGGGCTTGTTTAAATTTTCTTGCTTTACAGTGCATATTAACCTACATGAATCTTGCCAAAAGAGTTGAATGAATTAAAGGATTATGATAGGAAATCACTATGTAACTTTAGGCATCATTGAATTCTTAGTGATCATGAAAGTGAAACTGGATTCTTGTTTATTTTGCATTGTTCTTTCAGAACTACATCCATGGAAGTAGTCAAGGCCAGTTCCAGGCAGAAACTTACATAATCTTTGTTTTATGTATCCTTAACAAGAGAATTATTAACATTTATATGAAATGTAAATGCAAGAAGTAATGTGTATTATGTTGCTTAATAATTTAACATATACAACATGAATGAATGTTGATATTATCTTAAATAAAAGGATTATTTGACAGATTAATTTACACATGTGACATGTCTAAATATGGCCATGATGACATCATAACATGACTATATATATGGGCATACAACATCAAGAATGCGTAGGGAAATTTTGGATTTCTAGTAGGATATTGGTTTATTTTTTCACATTTTACATAAGTGTAAAAAATAAATGTATCTTTGAATACGTACGTGACATTTGAAGGCAGCAAATTACGATAGGATGCGACTCATTTTGGGGTATCAAAACGTCGGTGCTTTGACCTTGGTGGTGTTGGGAGTTTGAATAGCCAGGAGCTTGTGGGTCATAAACAATTAGGGCCTATAACAAAATAACCATCACTTCTGGGCAACAAAGGAAGTATTTTTCGGCTACAATTTTCAAAACCTTACATACACTGTACTAATAAAACTTTGAGAGAAGCATGATGAGAGAAGGAACAGAGTATAGTAGGCCCAAGCTAAGGCCCTAGGCTACACTTGAATTGCGCTGTGATCGGGAAAAACACAGAACAGTTACGAATCGTTATGGATAGCTAAACATGTATGCGTACACGTATTCGTTTGCTTGCGAAACCTCTCTAATAACATACAATTACTTACTAGTAACTGGATAAATCACATTATAAATATGCAGTATATAGATGTTATATGACATCATCTTGCCTCTACATGAGTATTATATCCATGGCACTGAACATTATGATGCTTGCATTTACACCTTTAAGTCCTGGGTTAAAATCCTGTCAAAACATGTAACATGCCTTAATATGGTCATGATGACATCACATCATGACCATATTAGGTACATCATGACTATATATGGGCATGATGACATCACATCATGACCATATATAGGTATATCATGACTATATATGGGCATACAACAGTTTTTTTTTGTCAAAGAAAATTTGATAGTCTGGACAGAGCTTTACACACTGTCCAGACTATCAAATTTTATTCGACAACATATGACATGTCTAAATATGGTCATGATGACATCACATCATGACTATATATGGGCATACAGCAGCTTTTTGTCAAAATTTCAAAAAAAAAATGTACTAATCAGTACAGGGCTAACAACTCCGCATTTCATACTAATTAGGTTACTGTTACATAGAGCAACACCAGGATTGCTGTCAACATTAAAATTATTTTAACCTTTAACCTCCTGAACCAGATGCTGCTCTGACAGTTGGTATGGTGCTACTTAGTAAAGATAATATCATCGAGACAAATGGAAGTCAAAAAAGAGGTATTTTTTCATAGTCTATATCTTTAGACGATCTTATGGTAGAACAGTATTTTATTATTGAATAAGTTTTCGTGAATAAATAAAGTGACTATACTTTATACAGAGAACTGTGTATCCTTGAAGTGCGTTTTAATGACAATTAATCTGGTATCTTGATAAATATAATTTCTTATATATTTTAAACAAAAGAATATTAGGTAAAGATAGTAGCACCCCCTACTTTTGGACACCAATATTAAGGGGATATTCTTATTAAGACAACACCTTTTTGGCAGGCCAACCCTTATTAAGGAGGCTTTTTTCTCCGTCCCAATGGTGTCCCCCAATAGAGGTTCTACTATAAATGATTTTAGAAAGTATTAAATTAAAGGATTATACTATACAAAGAACTTGGGATTATTTAGTTATTATTATTACTAAACTATTGTATTCATTATTTAAAATATTTTTTTTCTCAAATATAGATGTTTGTTATTAAATGGATCCTATTCCTATTTTATTTTAATACTCTAAGAAATTGTCTTATTCATTTGTATGGTTGCCTCCTGCAAATAGCAAATTCCATTTGCTGTTGGTTGATTATTCAAATATAATAAATATGATATATATTTTTTTCAGTAATGACTATCGTCGGTCTGTTTATGATCGTGTTTTTCTTCAGTCTTATTCTATCGATATTTCGATCCAAGTACAGGGGTTACCCATACAGGTAAGTCTTGGTGTGCCTATAATAGGGAGCTTTTGGTTGCACGACGATGTTAGGACGTAGAACGTAATGACATTATTAAAAGTCATCTGCGCATGCGAGAACGTTACGGTCACCTCATCGAGTAGATTCTGGAACACAATTTGGCCAAATCTACGTATGCAGAGAATGTAGACGCCAGGTACGACGGTCACGAATGAGTGATTCCGTTCTAGCGTCGCATTGTCACACAAATTTAAAGCTCCCTAACTAATTCAACATGGTTTGAGGTGAAGTAGAATTCACTCCTTCACCAAAATATAACCATGTTTTATTTGTTTTACTATACTTCATAAATATTAAACAGCAAACGTCTGTCTACATTAGCTATTGTGACCTTAGGGTATTATGTAGTTTGCATGCAGTTCACATATGCATGGGTGCAGTAGTTGATTTAAGATGGTACCTTTTACTCATGTATGCTTAGTTGAACAATGAAATGTTCTTAATATTACATAATTAAAATTTATAAGTTATAGTAATAATAAATACACTTTGTGACTCAAGATGTTTCTTAAGATAAATATGTATTTGCATTATCATGAAGTTACATATACAGATTATTTTCTGGTTTTTGCATGGTTTACATATCTGATGCTCATTTTGATGTTGTATTGGAAAATCTAGTGTCTTACTTTTAGTAATCTTGGGAAAATGGCTCTTCTAAAATTATTAAAAGTATTATGATTAAATTAATTGATGGATTAAAATGCTATAATCAATCAAATAAATTTCATTATTCTATTGATATAATATTGGGTAGTCATTGTGTTTATAATCCATCTCTATTTGTACACTTAACAACACATCAACACACACATACCAATTTTTTATTTTGTAAATGTAACCATTTTTGTTCTTTCAGCTTTTTACTACGTTAATGATGGGGAGTGTTTTCTTTTGTCACTACGTGGTTCAGTGGAAATCAACATCCTTTTGTTCAGTACCGTAGCCCTCCCTTGTGGAATCTTTCTAGTTTATCGTCAGTTATTAATGTTGTATCATTACATTCTTGTAGGGGTTAGTGCCTTTTTGTGCTTGTAGTTGGTTTATAATTTAAGTGATTTAAATATTATTTTATACGCAATATTAAATAGTTTAATGACTAAATTTGTGAAAAATTCCGAAATAATGTAAGTACTTAGACAGTACGGGACTTAACATGTGTGGTACACAGTGCCTAGCAGTGCCATGCATGAGGGTGGCGGGTCACGAAGTCCAGCAACCGGAACAGCATTCTATGTACCTGGTCAAAATGTTTTTGCATGTGTATCTTGTACAAGTATATTTGACAAATAAATTTGATAGAGTATTGGTTACTATACTCTTTGCTTGTGCGGAGTTTTTCTTTGCAGTAACAAAGTGCTGTTTGCCACACTCCACAAAATTCCCCCCAGTAAAACTTGTATACAAACCAAACACGAACAAAATGTGTAAACTAAAATGATGCAATGAAGCAGAAACTCCATGCAAAAGGGTTCAATACTAAAGTAGTCACTCTACTCTGCAGGCACTACCAACAATACCGCAGCATACCCTCACACCATTCCATTTTCTTTTTTTTAGGTTATGTAATTGCTTTAATATTTGTGATCCTGATTTTGTCCTTTTCTTCCGAAAATGTCTTTCTTTGATTTATTATATATTCATTAGTTTTTGCGTAATATTCCTAGCAGACAGCAGTAAATACCGATACAACACCTATAAATGATCACTAAATATACCGGTAATGGAATGAAATATATAAAGAGTGACCATGTTAATCACTAAAATAAGTCAATACATGATGAGTAAGGAATGTCGCATTCACTACAACATTTTAACATGTGTGGTATAATCACAGAAATATAAAATTGTATACCTCCATGGTATAATCCCATTATTTTTACTGTATTATTCTTTAGGAGTATAGTACCTTACATGATTTTCTCAATATTATAATCAAAATTATTGGCAAAGTTCTTTATTTTAATGGTAATTTGTCTTTCATTTGCAAAGGTCTTTCTAAAATGTAGCAGTATTCGGTATTATGGTTTACAGTGGTTGATTCAAATTTTAAAAATAAATTGCAAGAAAAAGAAAATTCTACTTGAATTTTAAGTCTAAAGCCCTTATCGCACTGGACTTAATTTGGTCAAATTAACCGAGTCACTGGCTAAATTGACCAAAAAAAATCCAGTCGGTTACAATTCCCTCAGGGTTAAATTAACCAAACCGAATGGTTAATTTTACCGACCTCAGCCTGCCCAGTAAAACTTACCACGGTCTCGGTTAAACTAACCACGCTGGTCAAGAAGTCCAATCCGAACGTGCAACACGGTTAAAACTTCTTCCATGTTGACACCGCTCGAACAAAACCGGAAATTGAAGTCACAAACTAGCGCCCTCAATAATATTTTTTATACACAAGGTTAAATCTTGGTAAAAAACTATGGTAAAACTAACCGCGTGAATAATCCAAGTCCGAACAATGGTTAAAGTTACCCTGGTTAAATTTACCATTTTTTAAATCCAGTGCAAACAAGGCTTAAGAGTGCCGTAATCAATAATTTTCTCACCTCAGCCTCAACCATGGTGGGGTGGAAGTAGGATAGACCCTCCATCTGTAAAAATCCCTCTCTGGCGCCTCCCTCTATTTCAAATTCCTGGATCCGCTACTGGTTTAGAATGTTACTCTTGTATATGGCAATACTGGTAGTATTTGGCTTCACAGACTGATAATCTAATGATAATTGGGCGGATCAAGAGTGGGTGATGTTTGGCGACGGTCTCTAAAAAAATAGGAGGGGTAACAAGAAGGTAGACTGTCATTTAATACAAGAGTGCCTTTTTTTATTTCTGTATTCCTTCTGCAAATATATGGACCCACCCTCAGTACTCATCGCCTCCTAAAACGCTGCCGAAGGTGGCTTTTTTGCGAGTATTAATAATGTAGTTACATAGAAGATTAACTAACAAAACAGTTCACCAGTATACTATATTTACTGGGTTATAAAATAGACTGGTATGGCATCACTTTATCAAAATAATACTGATTTAATTATCATGTAGTTGGTTGGTCTTAATAGATGAATGGAATAACAGCCATTCTGTCTTTAGGATAGTCTTCAAATTTAGTGCGATACCACTGGTGGACAGTGTAAGACGCAGCGACTTGATTGGTCACTACAAACGCATACAGCATGTACCACATTCGATGTTGAAAGCCGAGCATCAAGATTCCAGCCGTGTAGATCAGAATCTCAAAGAAGTAATGAGGACAGCTGACATACAGAAACCAATCACCATACGGGATCTTGTGAACGTTCTTGTCTGTGAATGAAAACAAAGAATTGGGTTATGGACTGACCATTTACAGCTTACCCTTGTGTGGCTTTTAATGTTCCACAACAATACTACTACTGTAGTCCCCGGAGGCTCACTCCTAAATATTTCTATATGGGGAGGTGCTGCATTTATGGGGTATATTTTCGAGGACTTGTTGGTGGCACAAGTATTGGTTGCAGCATTTATGAGCTACACTTGCGAGGACTTTGTAGCACAAGTGTGGGAAATAACTGGGGTGAAATTGGTAGTTAAACTCCCTGGCCTATACTTTGTCAAAGTGACACGCTTTTCTGCACAATGTTAGCAGGAATTTCAAGCTAAGCTGGGTAATCCCCGTGCTAAGCCTACCTTTGGCACAGCCACAAGATCGCGATCGGAAACAGTCGATATTTTGCCCTCTCTGGCACTATTGAGTGGCCCATCTCCTGTCCTTTTTTTTAGCACAGTGCGATTTTGGTATAATGGTAGTTCAAGTCCATAAGAATTTTAGTAAAATAGGTAGTGCAAGTGTCTCGCATCTTCAAGTGGCTGCGGCACCCCCCTGTTTGGTTGGTATGCAAGTGAGCTCCCCGGGCTGTAGTCCTGATCTCAGAAGACTTAGTTCTCTATGGCAACCAAACCATGCATAACCAAGTGCTGGAAGTCACTCTTTCTCTGCGTATTATTAACTCAACCAACAAAACAATACAAGCAGAAGGCTTAAACTCATTTAAAGATCTTTCTCAACAAAACGACTGGGCACTGCAAAACTTGGCTACCAATTTTAATGGACAACAAGATAAAATGGAGGGTGAGCCTGAATATTCAAGTAAGTTAGTATTGTATAAGGTTTCTGAATTTGGCTTCCTTGATGCTCTATAGCCTATTGTGAACAAAAATCATTTTTGCCACAACTTAACTACATTGAATATAATTATTGGAAAACACAAACAACAGTTTGGCATGTAAAATAAGATCGACTTAGAAATTAATCGACTTAGAATTTATTTGACTTAGGCAAGTTTAACTCTATTACCTATTATGTCATTATAAAGTGTTGTAAACATATGATGTAACATCCCAACATTACTCACACAAATATACAGTATTTATTTTACTGAATAATTATTAATATTATAAAAAATATAGAAGCATTAAACTTTAAAACAAAATAAATAATAGATAACAAGCTATATAATTCAACTGGGCCAGAAAAACCTGATGATTTTGCACATTATATATTTTTAAATTTTATTGATTAGCCTATTTTACTTGAATATTTTATGCTAATTTTATTTTTTAATAATGTTTGTTCTCATTGGCATCGGAGAGCCACTAGACAATGATTTAGTTCACTTTTTGTAATCCTGTCCAGCCAACTGAATGTTGTTTCCTGTGCTCTCTGTTATCTTGTGTTTGTCAATTTTTAATGTTTTTTGGACGAAATAAATAAAATGAAATGTAAAAAGAAAAGTTAGAAATAAAATATGAAGACATCACTAACCCTTATCTGATTTTCGCAAGTTTGCAAAGATTTTATGGACATTATACTGATGTATGCTGCTCCACGTGTACAGAGCAACTGCAGCAATGTGATACCACCGAAGGCCATGGAATAATTCAACTGGGCCAGAAAAAGGAACTGAAAAAATGGAGGGAAGGGGAGTTAATGTACAGTATATGCAAATATTTTATAATCGGTTATAAATTAATATAAAGAATAAAAACAATAGAAGAGATAATGGTGTAAATATTAGTAAGTAAATGGGAAAAATACACAAATCGTTTACACCGATCTTTCGAGAAAAGAATTATGATGACGCATTGTTGCAGGATGGCTTGTGCTTGGCGCCAGGACCAGATGTTCCATTTTGTTTTTGAGGGGTGTTCTCTTTTGGGACAGAATAGGCAATTAGTTGGTTTATCCAGTAAGTATTCACATATATAACAGACATTAATTGGAATAATGCACTATATAATTATTATACAAAATGGTACTGTAGTTAATAATATTTTAACTATCTGGCAGTCAAATGTCTATAATTATGAGTATGAAAAGTAGAATCTGATTGGTACAGTATGACATAAATAAACATGGGAAAGGCCAACTGTCATTTAAAAGAATACCAGGATGTACCCACAATGATTTGTTTGTTTATTGTTCTCTACATCATTGCAGAGCACTTCTAGTTCTACTTAAATGGCTTAACTATAGGCATTTAAGCATGATCTCACCTGGTTTACTTAAATCTGGAGCTTCACTAAGTACAGTCAATCCACTGAAGAAGTAGAATGTTAAGCCAAGTATGTAGTGAGCTACATTCATTGTAGCCTTTGAATATTTGCTTAATGTTATGCACTCAATAAAACGTTTTAAACCTTGAACTACAATGATTGACACCATCAAAATTACAGACAAGTGTGACACTGTATTAAAAGAAAAATTACAAATATAAACTTTGTAACACTAGTCATTGGCAAAAAGTGCTTTATTTTTATAACAAAATTCATATTTATCAGTGTGTAATATAAAAAAAAATTAAAATATGTTATTGCAGTATTATGTAAAAATAAGTCTGTTAAAACCTATCAAATTATTGTATAAAATATTACATTAGTTAGAAAATGGCAAATTTTGTATTTGCTATTCCCTGGAATTATAGTAAATTATTAGAGCCTATTTACAAATATACAGTTGAATTTGCCTAAATCAAATCCAAAATAAATGGCTTTGAAAAATTGTTTGACTTCGATAAAATTTGACTCGTTAATTAAGGAAATTAACACAACAATTTGCATGTAAGAAAAGATTGACATAGAAATATACTCGAGTTAGGCTAAGTTGAGTAAAAGAACTGAATGGAATTAAATTATAAATAGAGTAACAGTAAAATATGATTATTAACAAAGATAATAAATAGAAAAAGATAGATCAGTTCTCAATATAGTGGAACACCTCATGAGGGCGTCCATGAGAGCAATTTTCCTTCATCTGAGTGGCGGCGCTATATCTTTGATCGGTTGGATAACTCTCTGATTCATTTGTTTTCATTAGTTTATCCACTCCATCAAATAATTTTCCTCCATTCTAGAGAGGGCGGACATTCGATCAAATTTAATGCAAACTACGCAAAGAGCTCATTCTATTTAAGTTCTTTGTTATTAATCATTAATTGCTTACCTGTGGGATTATTCACTGGGTAATAGGTTAGTTTATTCAGACACCATAGGTACCAGGAAGGTATGTGTCCATTCAAAAAGTAAACATTAACCAAAGTCCATAGCAAGTAGCCATTAGCAATCACCGAAGTCAAATAAAAATGTTTGAAGTAGCTGAAAAAAAGGATTTTCACGCGTTGATCTCGCAAGTGCTCATCATAATAAGCCAATATTCATAGTTTGAACTGCGCATGCCCATATCAAAGGTCAATCTACATAAACATATGTTGTGTGTTTTGTTTGTTGATAAATATGGGCATATGTACTTATATGGGCATACGTACTTATATGGGCATACGTACTTATATGGGCATACATACTTATTTTTCTTTTTAAAATTTATTCTGAATACAGTACAAAAAGGATAATTTATTAAAAATATTAGAAACTTGATAAGGTATTATTCCAACAATACATGCTGTAGTGCATTTAGATCTAGCGAAACTTAACTTTAGGGTTAAGGGTTAAGCCAGCACCACAATAGCATGATCAGTGCACCAAACCTCAGATTTGTTTTATGTAATTCCAATAATTTAAAAAATAAATAAATAATTATATCCACATTTCGTTAAACAAGGACAATAATTTAGCCTCAAAGCTTATCTTATTTTTTGTTGGTTACCGTTACGCACCACTGATTTGGCCCAAATTTTGGGTTGTTTGTCTGTTTTGTCATCATCATAGATGTCTACCGATTAATGCATGGAAAAGGCGTAGAAATACAAAACGTAAGTAATGCAGCAGCGGCAGATATGCCCCTACCATTCTTTCCCAGCTAGCCTCTCGGGCTAGGCCAAGCTCACTGTGTACTGCTATATCCCAGTGCTCTTGCACGGAGAGCTTGCACCTGCTCCCGACCCTAGATATAGAGGGAATAACAAAAGGCCTAGGCTAGGCCTACCTTTTTGGGACCTGGATAAGGTTTTCAATGATAGTTTTGTTCCTTGCAGACATCACTTTACCATACATTGACAAGTCTTTAACGATTGTTGGTGTGTACGGGATAACAAACAACAGCCATAGCAATAGGAACGCTACAGAACCCCCACACCAGAAATAAACAAGAAAACAGGATTCTAGAATTAATTCGACCATTTTTACCGATTGCTAATCCTAAACTATGGAACGCCCACAGTGCCTTCTGCGGCCCCTATAGCATTCGGCTTCGCATTTACCATACATTCGGCGACCCATTGCATCGGCGCATTTGTGGCGACGATTATGTATTCGGCAGATTTGTTATGCGGCGGCCACTTTTTCATTCGGCAGCGACCCTAGCATTTAGCGACTACATCATTCAGCGACTTTATTTCAATTTCATTTTATTTCAGAAAACCCCCGAGGAGAGATAAAATGCATTCACTTTAGCATTCAGCGGCCGCAAGCTTCGGCGACTTATATATACATTTCGGCGACTATAGTCCTGTATCAATTGGTGACCATCCAATAGGATAAAACTGGTAATTTTCCTATGATGTTTCCTGAGGCAAACTCGCATCTTAATAGTGTAGGGGTTTTTATCGGGATAATAGATTATTATGAATTTATTATTGGTTATAATATGGGGACGTACTGAGTATTCTGTACGATAACACGACAGGTAAGGCAAATAATCACTTCTATGCTATTTCGTGAGGCAAACTCACATCTTTAAAGCTTTTGTAGTGTTTTTTATCTGGCTAGATAACTTGGAGGTCGTGTGGGCGGGCACCCGAACCATTTAAAAAAAAAAATCGGTGTTTTTCATTGTATTGTATTCTTATTATATCTCTATGGTGTTTTTGGCAAATTCGCGCCAATAGAGGGCGGTATATACACGTGTCTAAAAAAGAGAAGAGCTGAGAACATAATCCACTGACGGTAGACAACGAAATTATCGTTACATTTCGTTGTGAAATAATTAATTGAATTGATATTTTATTTCCCTTAAGTGTATATATTTGATTGGCCTGTTGTGATCTCAATCATCTTATCAACGGCACTGTGAGTATTTACAAACATGTACATTAAATTTGAACTAACATATTGCTGATAAAATACTCTCACCTCATCGACCTGCCTAAGTTGGCCTAGGCCAGGCCTGAGTTGCTAGCTTCCTTCCGAGGTAAGGCCCTACTAAGCACAATTCCCTGTGCGTTCCTCCAGCGAGCTAGCTAGGCTTAGAAATGCCTAGGCCTAGGCTAGTATATGGCTGAAACGAAACCTAGGGCCTCGCTATCGTTCATACTGGAAATACTTTAATTGAACAGGGGATACATCAATCAAAATTTGCTTGGAAATGTCATTTCAAATGAGGCCTATACTATAGTATTATCCGCCCTTCAAGTTCCAGCAGTGCAAATGCACTTTCGCACCTAAACTTTTACTTATTTTTTTTACTTTTTACCTTAGTGTTCTTCTCACAGTCACAACATAGGCCTAGGCCTGTATTATCAAACATGTGTTCACATGATTCAACCACTCACAAAGTACCTATTTCAACAAAAAGTACAGCAAATCTGTGCTCGCTAGCATGACAAGCTGCTGCCATTTTGAAATCAGTAAGAAATTGTCAGAATGTCTGAGTTTACAGTGTGAAGTTTTATGTAATTAAACGTTCGTATGTCATTTCAGTTATTCGTTATATTATGTGTTGTTGCTTGATTATGATGTGTGTTCATGTGACATGAAATTCACAATCCATGTACAAAAATTACTTTAATATAATTATTAATGATCCAAATGCATACACAGACATTAATAGGGCCTAGGCCTATTCAATGGCATAATGCAGCAGAACAACTACCAAAGCCAATGCAAAACAGCGGTTCGATGAACCTCAATTAATGCAAGAAAGTTAAACAAAAAGATGGTACTGCATGATGCCACATTAAGAGTTAGGTGTGAAAGTGCATTAGCACCTATCCTTCCTACTTTCTTAATTTTGGTTTATTGCCGTTTTGACTTAGGCCTATTGCTGTTTTGCCTTAGGCCTATTGCTGTTTTGCCTTAGGCCTATTGCTGTTTTGACTTAGGCCTATTGCTGTTTTGACTTATTGCTGTTTTGGTCCATTGCCATTCTGGTAAAAAGAGTTGCCGTTTTGTTTTTATGCCGTTTTGGTCATTGCCGTTTTGACTTATTGCTGTTTTATTGCCATTTCAACCAGAAATCGAAGTAGGCCTACCTAGACACACTAAAAGCAAATAAAAGAAGCACTTAGACATGATTCATACCATATGTATCCCCAACCATGAACAATCAAGAGAAGAATTTTACTGATAATTTTACCATGCGAGTTAGCCAGATTTAAATAAATGAAATTAAAATTTTTTTTTTTTTATTTTACCTTATTTATATATTAAGATTAGCTCAAAGCCGAATTATTGGCAAAATCTGCGTAGAAATCAGCTCTTATCATCCGAAATGTGCGGACGGATTTCTAGGCTAAATTTTTGCATTGAGGATATATTCCCCACACAGGCTTTACTATACAGTCTGGCCGACAGACTTGTCTCCGACAGACTTTTGGACGACAGGACATTTTGACGACAGGACATTTGCCGACAATAAATCTACCGACAGACAATTCATTAATAGACAAAATAGTACAGTGGGTACCTGGTAGGCTCAAACACAAAATGCGCTGATTACAGCTGCAACATTATGGAATTCTCTTGCAGGGAGTCAGGGGTTTAACTAGAAAAAACTAAATAGGCCATCCAAAATGGAAGCCAGTGGGCGGGGAACTGAGCCGATAGGCTAGCCATGCCCATCTTTGAGAATCCCCACCGAATATTGGTACGAAAACAACGTACATTCAATAAATAAATGTTGTTTTTATCAAACTTAAATTTGATTTACTGTAGCTTAAATAGTTTAATGTAACATTAGATAGATTTAAAGGATAAAGAATTTGCTACAGGTAGACCAGGCCCAATTAGGCTAGGACTAGTAGCTGAGTAGGCCAAGCCGTCCAAGACGTCACAGTAAAAGTGGCCGTCCTAAATAATTGTAGGCCGTCCAAAAGACGGGCGGACGGCTCACTGGCTAAGCCTGTGCAGGGAGTTGAGTATGTGTTCCATATGTGCTTGATACATTGACTGGGGGCTAATAATGTGAAATGCTTAGTTAGAGGCCTTGTTGGCATTTAAAGCACTATATAAGCGTAACATTAAGATAATTTAAGATAACATCTTGTTGATAGAGAGACATCATGCCAAGAGTAAAGCCTAACAACACTGAAGAAGAGAGCAAGCTGACGAGGATTGCCATTGTTAGCAACGACAAATGTAAACCCAAGAGATGTAGGCAAGAGTGTAAGAAGTCCTGCCCAGTGGTGAGGATGGGTAAACTTTGTATTGAAGTTGTATCCACGGACAAAATCGCCCTTATATCGGAAGAGCTGTGTATCGGATGTGGCATTTGTTCAAAGGTAAAATATTATTTCTATACATTTTATTAGTCCCTTTTCATACCCTCCTTTTCCACACCTACCCCCCCCCCCTTTTCAAAAAATAAAGAAAGTAAATATTCCGTATGAATGCAGAAATAATTATTTGTAAGCTCAGTTTTTTGTGTAGTCAAGTTATAAATGATCGGGCCTAAAGACAATCAGGCCCAGGAAGATTGGGCCCATTTCAGGATGATTAGGCCCAATTTAAAAGCGGGCCTGAACATCCTGAAAATGGGTCCAACAATCTGGAAATAGGCTCAGTCGTACTGTGCCCGATTATCTTGTGGAGCCAATCGTCAGTCACCCATTTTGTCCTAGTTGATGATATTTTAACAGTGCTTATGTAGTCTTTATTTTTATATCTAAATGGGGACTTTAGAACTGTAGTTTCTAATATTATAGTCTACCAATGTCAGGTTCTTTGATTTAATAAGATGTTTGTCCTTGTATTCACTCAATGTTCAATGGATAAGAATTAATTACTTAATCTATTTGAATGATTGCTGTTACTAAAATGAAATAAGATATACAGTATATAGAAAGAAATTAATTTGTTCCTGATTTCAATTAGATTTTTGTCCTTTTATTATTCACTCACTGTTGGATAGAATTAAGTACTTAACATATTTGAATGGTCATTGTTATGAAATAAAATAAGATATATATATTTGGTATTTATAATAGCAACTAATTTGCTTATAATATTTTTTTCTTTAGAAATGCCCATTTGAAGCCATTAATATCATTAATCTACCAAGTAATCTGGGAAAGGATACAACACACAGATACAACGCCAACTCCTTCAAGCTTCATCGGTTTGTAGCTTTATTTTTCCTAACACTTACTCATTTTTTGGTTTGGGAATAGAGAGTTTATTTTTGGTTTGCTTTTTTACCAATTTTATTGATATTTTTATTGTTATTGTCATTATTATTGTTATTATTATTATTAATTTTATTATTATTATTATTATTATTATTATTATTATTACCATATAAATTTGGAACTTGTGTAAGAACTGTAAGTACCAAGTGTGTACATGATGATGGTAGAATATTGAATATAAGGCCTAAAATCCCGAAAATTAGGGGCGGGTTTTTTTTTTCCAAAGAAGTTTTTTTTTTAAGTTTAAAAGATCAAATGAAAACCACTTTTTCGTCGATTTTGGAACAGGTCCGTATTATATGGAAATTTTTACTATTTAAAATTTTTTTTAAAACAAAAATATGATCGTTTTTCCGTGAAAAAAAATGACAATCGCACAGTTTTCACGATGTTTCTATGGTTTTACAAAAAAAAAAAAATAAAAAATTGTTTATGCCAA